CTTCTCAGATACTAACCTTTATGTGTTGTGCACTTTTCTAACTTTTTACCAATGAAAGGTTTATTTGTTTTGTTCTTATGTATTGTTATAGTGGATTTTAGACAATATATAAGTCTTGTTCTGCTTAGTTTGAATGTTTAAATTGCCGCTAGAACTCAAGCTTACCTGCTATGCAGTGTTGAGGGAATAACCAGATGACTAAGTTAAGATTGATTTCTAATGAATGGTGAACTATGGTGTTCCTGTTAGGTTATGAAATGATTAAGTTGTTGCACACAACATGGATGAGACTAAGATGGTATTTGTCAAGTGTCATGGAGTAGTCTATAATGGATGTATAATTAACATGGTGGGAACATATGAGCTTGCATTGCATTGGTGGCCGCCAAAGCATCAAGATATGTTCATTAAGGTTAAAAAGCATGTTTAGTCTAGAATATGAACCCGAGTATTATTTGATTAATTACAAAGAACTCAGGTATTATTTGTCGCTTAATAGAATCAAATCGACAGACGAGCTTCCTGCATGACTCGATATAGTGCCAGACGAGGTTCCTCTAGATCTTGCTTTTGGTAGCTTGGTGCTTCTCTCTGTTCGTTTTTGATAGAAAAATTTGTATTTTTTTTTAAATCTAAACATGAATTTCGTTTTATTGTTACTTTTATAATCATATCAATATCAATTGTCATTATTCTAATCGGAGTCGTGTGTTACTTTGGCTCCAAGCTCGTGCATACTTCTTAATTGCCGGATTCTAACATCATTAAATAAGGGTTAATTTATCTTTCCTCGATCATTCCTTATGGATTTTTTCACAATCCATGATTGTGCTAAGCTGCACACAAGATGAGGTAGTTGGTGTCTTGGTGATACTACGTCGGTTAATGTTCTTGCTATAGCTTTCTTGTAATTTTTATTGTGGCAATTGAGTTCGAGCTTAGAAAGTTACAATAAAGTTTAAGTCGGGTTTTTTCTTATAACTACTCGCAAATTTACTAGTCAAGTTCGAGCTTGAGAAAAAGCTACCAGTCGAGTATATCAATACTCGAGCTTGACTCTCATCATTTACACTACTATTCCAAACTCTCAAAATCCCTACTCCAAACTGCCGATTTCAGAAATGAAACTGATAAACCCCAAACTATCAATTGAAATCGATTATAGATGACTATTAAGACCACTAGAGTTCAATTTCAGAAGACAAGTTGTTTTAAACTCGAAATCGATATGCTCTAAACTCTCAAAATCGATAATCTCCGAACTCACAAATCAATATGATCCAGTCTCTTGAAGATGATTATCGATGATTCGATTATCTCCAAACATTATCAATTAAAAGAAATGTAAAAGCAAGTAACACAATGTGATGAACATACACATTTTCACACGTGCGACATATTCATTTTCATTTCCCTTCCATACCTTAGCTTCATTTTATAATCACTCAAAATAATTTACTTCCCATAACATTGTGCGGGGGTATGCAACTAGTTTATTGAAAACTAAGTAAGGTGCATAGATTGAAATTAAACCCCACAAAAATAAATAACTGTAAGAGTATAAATTACAAGTTTTAAAAATAATTCATCCATATTTATAATATTTAATGATATAATATTAAATCCATAAATATTCAATATTTAAGCTTATTTTAAAATTATTAACGACGATTATGATAATTAATGACATACGACCATGTATTTTAATATATACACGGTGTAAAACAAATTAAAAAGTAATTATAGAGCCATAAAATATAATTACACAAATTAAAAATCGTTAATTTTAGAGCATTTTAGCAACCCCGTCACAAAATGTATTTAAGAGAGGAGATGAGCACAAAAAAAACACACCGACATTCACTTCAGATGTCGGGTAGGATTAACCGGTTATCACCGGTAAATCAACAACTACAGCCTGTCAACAGCAATAAGATGGTGACTATGTTACAACCAAATTGTTACGTGGCTTAATATAATTGGTTATTTAAGCCTAATATCTATCATAAGGCGATACGGCAGATTACTGCATGGCATTCAATTCCACGGCTCGGCTCAATTTCTTTCACAAATTTATGCATGCTTTTGTGCCTTTTAGACCCTCGTACTTACATTCTGAATCCTATTTAGTGTATTGGGTTTTTTTTATTTATAAATTATATAGTTTTCCATTTATTAATCATGGATTTTAAATATTTATAATCATATTAAACAATAATAATTTTAAGAGCAAATTAAAAATTCGGTACTATATTTATGGACCGACTCTCTCGAATTAACACACCTGGTTGTTTTGATAGGTTATTTGGTTGTCGAGTGAATGTTTCGGTTAACTGAATAAGTATTTCTTATTCAATAATCAGTATGGTTTTTAGTTAGTTTTTATGAATTCGTTTAAACCAAATAATATATTATTGTCTTTGGTACTAGGACTCGAACTGTCAACAAACTATTACTATAAATGAAAGAGCAAAAATTGGAAGGATTTTTTCCGAAAACAAAAAGGCATACACAATTGAGTTCTAAAAATCAAAATCAAGTCCATCACAAAGAATACCTAATCGACTTTAGGGCTTCAAAGTGGACGAGAGAGGCGTTACCATAAACAATATATACTTAAAACTAGGGTTTGAAACTAAGGTGAATCATTCTCTAAAAATCATCTTTACGTGTTTCAGATTTTTTTTTCTTTGATAAGAGATAAAAAGCTCTTAACGTCATATGATACAATAAGGGTAAACCATCTTCTTAAACAAAAAATGACCTTGAAAGAAGAAGAAAATGTAAAACACAAAGATCTCATCTCCATCTAAATATCGTCTCAATCTGCATCGCTCTAATCTCAACTATTCCAGATCTCGATTGTCTTCTGATTTGTGTACTTTTGGATCTTTCTAGTGTGCTTCATCTGAATCGCCCCTCTCATTTGAACAAAGAAAAGAGAAGAAGAAGAATAAAAACTCTTGTTCGGTTTTTTTTATTTTTATAAAAACATATTGGGAATCAGCCAAGTAAGTTTACTAAACTGTATGACGAAGGAAAACTGGAAAGTAGGTCATAATTATTGGTAAATTTGGGTTTTACTCCCTGTAACTTTACATATAATACTATTACATAATCAATTATTTAAATCTTGGTAAAAAAAAGTAAATTTGTAATTGGAAATCCCACAACCTATGATGCATAGCAAAAGTATTATAATTTCATAAAAATATTTGAGTAAATCACATTTTTGGTCTCTATGGTTTCTCGAAAGTAACACTTTTCTTGTTTTGAAATTAGAATTTGGCCACTTGTGGTTTGCAAAAACGACCCGATTCGATCCCTCCTTTTAACAACCGTTAAGACATCCCGTTAAATGAGGGGCATTTTCGTTCTTTTACCATTTCTTTTTCTTCTTCGTGATCAAAACCATAGGGACCAAAACTTCTAGGACTATAACATGTAACATAAATATAGAAATGGACCAACTTTTTGTTCAACTGTACCAAATATAGAACCCGCACAGACCAAAACACGGTGACTCAATCTCCGGTCAAGCATCAGTGCCGGTTGATACCCACGCTCCAGTTGCATCTCAGGCGACCAAAACCATAACTGCTCCCCCCCTCGTCAGTGAATGTCCCCTTTTCAGAAAATACCCATATTTTCGATAGATGAGAGGGAAATTTGCTTCATGGCTCGTACTTCATCTCCCACCTCCAGATTGGCGCTTCATTCTTCTCAACACAACACATTACATTTTTAATGATTCAAAAATTACAATTTCTTTTGGCACGGAGGAGAGTAATATTTAGGAATAAAACATAATTTTACTTCATTTTCAATTTGGTTGGTGTAGTAGTTCATGAGACCTCGGATTCCCACGTTCCAGCTTGCATTATGCCAACAAGTCCCATCAAAATTGAAATCGTTATTAAAACTATCGTTTATCAAAATGAATATGTTGGGTATTTTGATTGTAAAGTGTAAATTTCTAACAAAGTTAAATTATTGTTAAAGCATTTTTACGAATTAGACAATTTTATTAATAATGTTTTAAAATTATATAGTTTTAATAAAGAATTTCAAAATTTAAGTGACCAAATTATAAATGGAACAAACATATATTACCATTTATTGCAATTTCCCCAAACTTACATGGGAATAGAATGGAAAAAATTATGTAGGGTTTTATATGTGTTGGCTTGGTCGAGTTGTATGCATTTAAACAACTTAATATAATATTTATGGTTTGAAAAATCACAACCCAAACCGTACAGGTTGGGTTGGTCGGCTTGAAATTTGTTAGATTATTTTACAATCTAGATAATCGTTTGTGTTTAAATGAAATAAAATAAAAAACATATAAAAAGGCCAACAAATTCAAAAAAAAGTTGAAAGTTTATGCAAATAAAAAAGTAAAATTACGGTTGAAATTATAATATAATTCTGATTATAACTATTACAGGTTGGTATAATATCTAATATATATATACAATAATCAATGACTTAACAATAATATTAAATTTATAGTATATAAAGATATCGGGTTGAGTTAAATTTAAATTACCCTAATCTATTTCTAACACAACATATGCATTTCATTTTGTATTAGTAATGTGTCGGTTTACTTAGAGTTGAGTTATTTTTAGTTTTTTCCGGGTTGGTCGTTTTTTAAACGCCCTTACTATGATTCATATCTTTGAACTTGTCAACGGGAACAAAATACGCATAAAGTATAAGAACTCTATTGAGAAAACTACAAAGTTAAAGGACCATAAAGTGAAAGTTCAACGCCAACTCTTGTGCGGCTGGCCGCTGGCTGACATCCAGACAGTCAATCACTAAGCTAAACAAGTCGGGCCGCGCTAGTCACCGCTTCCTGGTAACAGGCAACCGGTTGCACCGGTAAGTTATTTTATTACACAGCGACTGAAAATAAAATAATCCGAAGGCAATGGCATATATCTAACGAAAGGAAAAGCTTACGGAGAGATATCACCAATGGTCGATTGATTATTCAAATGTGATTTCGAGAAACCAATCTCAATTTCTACTTTTGATTTTGAGATCTCACATCAAATCACAGTATACTTTAACTTTGATTTGTTTGGGTTTATTGATTCATCCTCTATTTCTTCATTAATTGGAAGAGATGGAGGCAAATGCTGGATTGGTGGCTGGATCGCATAAGAGGAATGAGTTGGTGAGAATACGGCATGATTCTGATGGAGGGGTATGTCTTTTGAGTTTACTTTCATACTTATCTTTTGGCTTCTATAATGAATTTTGATTTGTTGGTTTAGATCTAATTCTTAAGTGAAGCATCAGTGTGTAATAGTGAAATTATGATATGGCTTTTGCGTAATCCAAATTTATTGATTTTGTTTAAATCTGAGCGTTGAGTCTTCTAGCAGTGCGAGTAATCAGCTCAGTAATGAGTGATGGTTTTGATTAATTATTCTTACGTTTTTGGCTGGTTTTGTGGGTTTTAGATGTGTGAACTGATTCCATTCGCGATTGAAGTTTTTATTTGTCCGTTCATGTTCCTCCGTAAGAATTACATAATTGAGCCGGTCTTTGACAGGGAGATCTGATAATTGAGCTCCAGATTTGGTATTTAGGGGTTTGGATTTTTGGGGAACTGTTCAAGAACTCATGTTCAAGTTAATTTCTATGCAGTGTGGTAAAGATGGGTTTTGGTGGTTAATTTGGTAAAGTTTGCATCTCTAACTGATGTTAACGTGGTTAAATTGAAGTTTATTAGTTCTTTTATTTTTGTTAAATGATCTGATAATTCTATTTAGTAAGACTTATAAGTGGCTTAATCTGGTGGACTAGAAGTGCACATCTATGTTAGTCCCCCATTGGTTAAAGTTCATCGAGTTCATTGATCAGGGCCTCAGAGGTAACTCCTCTATCGTCAATTGCTTTGGAGACTGTTTATGTGGTACCAGCCATAGCTCATTCTCAAGCCTCAACGGCTTAAAACTGGCTATATTGCTTTGAGAGCTAGGCGGCATATGGGCAGATGTATTAATAGAAATGCTATTCCTATTACGTGCAAAATTCAGTTATCATATATGATCCAAGGGTGAATCGGTTTCTGATATGGATGTTGATATACACTAAGTGAAATAGGATGGAATTACAAATGAAATCAAATGACTAATGGGAAAATCAAATGGTTACAGTTTGGTTTCTGACTTTCGAGAGGCCAGTTCTCTCCCAAAGCTCTCGCCTATACCGACATACAAATTGGAATTAATCCCTGTTACTCCCACACCCCTTATTTATACTTGATACCACCGACTTACTACCCATGCATTGCCCACTTGTGCCAAAGCACTAATTACTTATACTTGCCTACCACAACCTATCAGTCTAGACCCTTTCACCAAACTACCACTATTGACTGTTTGACTATATAATTCAGGGTACAATAGATGTATTAGAGTGTTAATATAGAATATATGAATCATAGAAACCAGCCATTGATTTGCTTTTGGCACATTGTTTCTAATTATTCATTTTGTTCATTGGTCATGCAGCCTAAGCCCTTGAAGAATTTGAATGGGCAGATATGCCAGATTTGTGGTGACACCGTTGGCCTTACTGAAACTGGTGATATCTTTGTTGCTTGCAACGAGTGTGCGTTCCCAGTTTGCCGCCCATGCTATGAGTATGAGAGGAGAGATGGAAATCAGTCCTGCCCTCAGTGCAAGACTAGATACAAAAGACACAAAGGTTTAGCACCTATCTTATGTTTGGAAAGAACTTGCTTTTATGTTCACATTTGTTCAATGGTAGATGATTCAGTTGGGAATATTTAACAATGAAATGTGTTTTTCAGGGAGCCCAAGGGTTGATGGTGATGATGATGAGGATGACATTGACGACTTGGAGAACGAGTTCCATTATCCTCAAGGAAACAAGGATAGGCGCCAATGGCAGGGGGATGATGCTGACCTTTCTTCATCTGCTAGACATGAATCTCAGCAGCCACTTCCCCTTCTCACTAATGGGCAACAAGTGAGTAAATGGTTTATGAAGAATTGAAGATGGTCGTAACCTTAACAAAATATTTTCTTTTTTTATCATTTCTATCAATGCCATGTCTTCACATGGAATTCCTTTGTGCAAAAAGAACCAATGCCCATCTTGATTCTTTTTCCATTTCCATTTCCATTGTCTTGACCCTAGCCGATTATTACTTGTAACATTATAAAAACTGAATGGAGTAATCAAGGTGCAAAAGATATTCAATTGTGCTTCCTCTTGCTTTCTTTAACTACGAGACTAACATGCAATATGTTCAGGTATCTGGTGAAATTCCAAGTATTACACCCGACAACTTATCTGTAAGAAGTACGTCGGGCCCATTAGGACCTGGTGACAAGCATGTCCACTCACTTCCATACATCGATCCCAGGCAACCAGGTGCCCTTTTTGACTTCTACCTAGAAAACACGCTATTCTAAGTAGTCATTTGTTCATGTATTTGTAGAAGATGTTATTTGATTTATGGTAATATCTTCTTGTAGTTCCTGTAAGAATTGTGGACCCATCGAAAGACTTAAACTCTTATGGCCTCGGTAATGTTGACTGGAAGGAGAGGGTGGAAGGGTGGAAGCTAAAACAAGAGAAAAATCTGATGCAAATGACAAACAGACATGGTGGGGAAGGAAAAGGAGGTGAGATTGAGCGCACCGGATCAAATGGAGAAGAATTGCAACTGTAGGCATCTTTCCAAAAAACTTAATAGTCGAGAAATTTGATCATTAACCTACACAACTGTTAAAGAGCTTCTTGTTTCTCATGTTACAGGGCTGATGATGCTCGCCAACCAATGAGCCGAGTCGTGCCTATTTCATCAACTCATCTTACTCCATATCGTGTTGTAATCATTCTACGGTTGATTATCTTGGGTTTCTTTTTGCAATACCGTTGCAGTCATCCGGTGAATGATGCTTATCCCTTGTGGCTGGTATCTGTTATCTGTGAGATCTGGTTTGCATTATCATGGCTTCTTGATCAATTCCCGAAATGGTCTCCTGTCGAGCGTGAGACCTACCTTGACAGACTTGCATTGAGGTAACTGGGATTTTAATTGCAAAATTTTAATTTGTTAAGTATGCAGTCGGCAAGCCTTTTAGCAATTGCTAAGTTTACTTGTTTGTAAGATGCTAACTTCAACAGAAGAGCCTGCAACTCTTGGTTTTTGTTTCTAGCTTTTGCCAACTTGTCAAAATATAATTCAAAAGTGTGCTTTTGCAGATTTGAAAGGGATGGAGAGCCATCACAGCTAGCTCCTATCGATGTGTTTGTGAGTACCGTGGATCCTCTAAAAGAACCTCCTCTCATCACTGCAAACACTGTGTTGTCGATTCTAGCTGTTGATTATCCTGTGGAAAAAGTCTCATGCTATGTATCTGATGATGGTTCTGCAATGCTCACCTTTGAGTCCCTCTCCGAGACGGCAGAGTTTGCACGGAAGTGGGTCCCTTTTTGCAAGAAGCACAGTATTGAGCCCAGAGCACCCGAGTTCTATTTTGCTCAGAAGATAGATTACTTGAAGGACAAGATTCAGCCTTCGTTTGTCAAGGAACGTAGAGCTATGAAGGTGAGTAATCTGATCTTTACTTTGACAATGGAGTTACCATCTTACCCTTGTATTACTATCGACAAGGATTACAATCAACACAAACCCTTGTTTTTTTTTTTTTCAATTTTGCTTATAATATATTGATGACAGCGAGAGTACGAAGAATTTAAGGTGCGGATCAATGCCCTTGTAGCCAAAGCACAAAAGATGCCAGAAGAAGGCTGGACAATGCAAGATGGAACTCCTTGGCCTGGAAATAACCCCAGGGATCATCCAGGAATGATCCAGGTGAGAATATCCGCTTTAACAAGTATATGTGAAAATCATTTTTATCTCAATTCCCATTAAAAAAAATTAATAGTTTGGATTATAACTGTAGGGTACCTTAAGCATTTGACAAAAAGTCAAACACTAACCATAAACTATGTATTATATCAAACTTTGCAATTTTTACAGGATAGAAGGAGAACCAGTAAATAGTTACTTATTCTTGATATGGTTTCATAGGTGTTCTTAGGACACAGTGGAGGTCTTGATACAGATGGCAATGAGCTACCACGTCTAGTTTATGTTTCTCGTGAGAAACGTCCAGGTTTCCAACATCACAAGAAAGCCGGTGCTATGAATGCTTTGGTTCGTTCAAATATCTGTTTTTATCACCTTTTCAAAATTGTCATACAATATATAGGATCATACTGGCATCATGTATTGATTGTTTATTTGATCAACGGTTTACAGATACGAGTTTCTGCTGTTCTGACCAATGGTGCGTATCTTTTGAACGTCGATTGTGATCACTACTTCAACAACAGCAAAGCTCTTAAAGAAGCCATGTGTTTCATGATGGATCCTGCTTATGGAAAGAAGACATGCTATGTTCAATTTCCACAAAGATTTGACGGGATTGATTTGCACGATAGATATGCTAACCGAAACATCGTTTTCTTTGACGTATGTTTACTTCTTAATATCAATTATTAATCATGTGATAATCATCTCATTTCTGTTTCAAAAACTTCGCTTTGTAGATCAACTTGAAAGGGCTGGATGGTATTCAGGGCCCAGTCTACGTGGGAACAGGATGTTGTTTCAACAGACAAGCTCTTTATGGATATGATCCGGTGTTGGCCGAGGTCGATTTAGAACCAAACATTATCGTCAAGTCCTGTTGTGGTTCACGAAAGAAAGCGAGGCATAGCAACAAGAAGTATGTAGATAAAAAGAGAGCAGTGAAAAGAACTGAATCAACCATTCCCATTTTCAACATGGAAGATATGGATGAGGGTGTTGAAGGTAAACTCGAGATCTTTTAACTGCATTTAGCTTTCTTTAGCCTTTTTCAGTAACACTTGGTGTCGTTTGTTTTTGTGTGTTGACTGAATTCTTGTTTCTTAAACAGGATATGATGAAGAAAAGTCGCTACTCATGTCTCAAAGGAGCTTAGAAAAGCGATTTGGTCAGTCTTCGGTATTCATTTCTGCTACTTTTATGGAGATGGGAGGCATTCCACCCACAACAAATCCCGCTACTCTTTTGAAAGAGGCTATCCATGTCATTAGTTGTGGTTATGAGGATAAGAGCGAATGGGGTAAAGAGGTAATTTTATCTTTACAACTCTTGATGCATAGGTGAGCCAAGAGGTTATTAGTGTGAGTGATTGAAGCATTTTTCATGGAAACAACCTCTCTACTGCCCAGAACCTACTGCCCAGAACCTACCTTAGTGTGAGGTATACCGGGTTTGTTCCGTTTGGTTTGGGGTTTTTGATGGAAAAAGTTTATTTGGAAAATGGAAAGTAAATCCTTATCCAAGTAAAAAGAGTGAAATTCCTTACCCTTAGTTGTAAGCGGAGACTTCATTCCTACTGAAATCTGGTTTCAAAAAAACCATTCTTCAACCTCCCTTTTTGTACCAATTATACCCTTCTGTCGTTATTCTTACTGGTATCTTGAACAGACAATTTGATATTGAGTTGAAATTTTGCCCTGCCCTTCTCCCATCTGGAACTTAACCTATTTGAAAAATGTAACCATGATTGATTCATTGTTTGTTGATATTCAGATTGGATGGATTTACGGATCGGTGACGGAAGATATCTTGACGGGATTTAAGATGCATGCAAGAGGATGGATTTCTATTTACTGCATGCCTCCACGGCCAGCGTTCAAGGGTTCTGCTCCAATCAATCTTTCTGATCGTTTGAACCAGGTTCTTCGATGGGCTTTAGGTTCAATTGAGATCTTACTCAGCAGACATTGCCCCATCTGGTACGGGTATAATGGTAAATTGAAACTCTTGGAGCGGATCGCATACATCAATACCATCGTCTATCCTCTCACCTCCATCCCGCTGCTTGCGTATTGTGTGCTTCCAGCCGTCTGCCTTCTCACAAATAAGTTCATCATTCCTGAGGTATGCTAAATTCCGACCCCTTCTTTATTTTTTGAGCCCTACCATATTGCCCATGTTTAGAAATAGCTGTTAGCTGAACAATTAAACTGTTGGATGATTAAACTAGTCCTAGTCATGATTGGTAAAAATCTTACCTGTTAGCTGAAATACTAAGCTTGGTATCTAGCTGATAAGCCAAGTATCGGGTTATGAATTGGCTGTTAACAGTAAACTGGTATTTTGGTAAAAACTAGTTTGATGAGAATATAAAATGACATTGAAAAATTACTCGATTCTTATATCAAGATCTGGGTGTTTTTCCTTACAGATTAGCAACTTTGCTAGCATGTGGTTTATTCTTCTTTTCATCTCCATTTTCGCTACCGGAATCTTGGAGCTACGTTGGAGTGGTGTGAGCATCGAAGATTGGTGGAGAAACGAACAATTTTGGGTGATTGGTGGCACCTCCGCACATCTCTTTGCCGTCTTCCAAGGTCTCCTCAAAGTTCTTGCTGGAATCGACACCAATTTCACCGTCACGTCAAAGGCAAACGATGAAGACGGTGATTTCGCAGAGCTCTACATTTTCAAATGGACYGCKCTCCTCATCCCTCCAACCACCGTCYTGATCGTGAACTTGGTCGGAATCGTGTCTGGTGTGTCATCAGCCGTTAACAGCGGGTACCAGTCGTGGGGCCCATTGTTCGGGAAACTGTTTTTTGCCTTTTGGGTCATTGTTCATTTGTACCCGTTCCTCAAGGGTTTGTTGGGTCGACAAAACCGAACGCCTACAATTGTCATCGTGTGGTCGATTCTTCTTGCTTCGATATTCTCATTGTTGTGGGTGCGCATTGACCCCTTCACTTCCGATAACACGCTTGATGCTACACGCGGGCAATGTGGCATCGATTGTTAGGTTTTTGATTCGATGCTTGCTTGCTTGCTTTTGGTACATACACACAACAACAAAAGGATATATATATTTAAATTTTTCTGCGAAAGCAACCGGGAACTAAGCCACGGCTGCATGTGTGCATGTTTGTGTATGAAAATTTTGCAAGTTATATTCAACGAATATTTGTAATTTATATTATATATACTCTGGATTGTATTAAATATATTATTTAATTTTTTTTACTATATTATATTGTTTGTATTAATTAAGTTATTTGATTAATTATGTTATAAAATGTTATAATTGACTAGTTCTTTAAGATGTCGTTTTTTGATAATTTTATATTTTTCATCTAGTTTATTAACCAGTTTTGTCAAACCTGCATTATTCATCAACTAACTTATTAATTAACATCTAGTTTGCCAAACATAGTATATACATGATTTTATTAATAAAGAAAAAGTTTTTAAAAATTCAACCAACTTTTTATATTTTTCGTGATCACGTCCTTGAACCTTCTTTTTGAACAAATAAATCCTCTAACTATTTGAAATCGAACAAATAAATCCTTCGAACTTTTAAAACCAAAGTAACCTAATGAACTTTCATATTTTGAACGATTAAATCTATGGTTAATTTTTTTGAAACAAGTCCTTAAATTTATAAACGAAAAGCAATACACCGTATCTCTATTGATGCATCCAGAAGCGGACCCATAATTTTTTAAGTGGTGGCAAAATTTAACTATTAATTTTTTTTCTTCACAATATTAGTATCGATCTGCTGGTTAGTTTTTTGTCTCTCCCTAGAAGAGACCCATGTTTGAATCCTGCCTACATATCTTTTTAAAAAACACAAGAACCATATCATGATACCTAACATACAGTGACACATTTTATAAACATACCGACACTAGTAAGACTCAAACCTGGTCCTTCTGTAGCATTAACCATCTCCACTATCAAAGTATTGTTTTTAAATTTCAGTTTTAAAAACTATATGGTGGCGCTAACAAAATAATATAATGACACCCTTCATAAACGTATTTTCCACCTTACGACGGAACCATGAATCAATGGACCATACCACTGTATCAATCGTTTTATGTCTTCCCCTAGATTTGTCAATAATTCAACAATAAAGTACAATAAATCAATAATTTTTTTATTAAATACCATTTCCATTACCTATTGTTTAATTTTCAGATTTAAAATGAAAATCATAAGAGAAGCCGATAATTGTTTGATTTTTAGATTAAAATTACAATCACAGAATCAACCAGATACACATGGGACTGTAAGTCCAATCTAAAAATTAAATAATCATTAATAAAAAAAGGTGTACTTTTTTTGTTTTATTAATTTATTGTACTTTTCTACCGATTTGCTTATATATGTAAAGTAAAACAATGTATTTATTACTCAAAATATTGAAGTTTATAGTTTTTTCTCTTATGTTTTAACAAGTTTAAAAATATATTTATACTTTTCCCCCCAAAATTTTAAAGCGTTTATTGTTCAAAAAAATGTTTAGAAACCATCACTCAAAATATGATAATTTCTTTATATTTTTTTGGACTTCTCTATCCACATAATCTAAATACGAAAAGCATATATAGAAAATGATAAGTTAAATGTATGCTACGTACTAATTATATATATATATATATATATATATATATATATATATATATATATATATATATATATA